CCCGGTGCTGTGGCTGGAGCCCTGGGCCGTGTCTGTAATGATGAGCCTTTTCTCTCATCATCAGTCACTCCTGTGACGTTCTCTCTCTCTCCCCTTGCAGGGCCACGCGATGATCGTGGAGCTTTACCCCCAGTAAGGGGCCCCGGCCCCGGGAGCGGTGCCCGTCCCGTGCCCGGCGATGCCACCTCAATGCACTAACAAATCCTACACCCCCTCCTCCTCCGAGGGGGCCTTTGTGGCCTTTATCAATCCCTTTTAGCTACTCAGCCAGTGATTTGGATCTGATGAACACGCTCTATTCCACTTCCAGCAGAGGAACAGCCAACGTGGCTCGGAGTCTCCGCAGGCTCCTCGTAACCTGTCTGCTCCCTCTGGGAACTCCTCGGGATTTCTCCCAGTGGGGAACAAAAATGATTGCAAAGCTCAGTACGGAGAACTAAGTTTGGAGACAGGGAGAACGTGAAGCACTGGCGGTGGGTGGGCTGAGGGGGGTGAATGCCGTGGGCAGGAGCAGCTCTTTGGGGCAGGGGGGTCAGTCCCAGGGGCTGAGCTGGGCTCTGAGGGGGCAGTTTTGCTGCACGATGTCCAAAGGCTGTTGGAATGAGCAAATTGCGCCTGACAAATGAATGTCACCGATGTAACAACCACAATAAATCAGGACAAAACACACGGAATGGCTGTTTCCTTTCCCTCCCCTCCCCTGAAATGCCTTGGGGATTGTTCCTGTGGATTGTTTGTGGTGGAACTGCCACCAGGTGTTTGCTCTTCAAAATCATGGAATCACACACTGGTTTGGGTTGGAAGGGACTTTTAAAGGTCATCTAATCCACCCCGAGCCCTTTTTATGACAGAAACAGTTTCTTGCACCCACCAGCTGCTGCCCAGCCCCGACCTGGAGGCTCAGCTGAGATAAGGGACAGATGTGACAGATTCCTCTTTATTCCTGCTGCCCCTCTGTGACTCTGCCCGCTGGTTTGCTCCTCAGGAAGTGTTTAAGGATGTCCTTAGGTCACGCAGAAAGGAAATTAGAAATGCAGAAGCTCAATTAGAACTTAATCTGGCCACTTCCTTAAAGGGTAATAAAAATGTTTTTGTAAATACATCAATAGCAAAAGGAGGGGCAAGGGAAACCTCCGTTCTCTGTCGGACGCGGGGGGAGTGTAGGGACCAAAGCTCGACTCCCGGGGCAGGATTTCCTCAGCGTTCCCGCAGCCCCGGCTCTCACCAGCTCTGGGATTCGCTGTCCCGGACACAGCGAGTCCAAAGGGACACCCAGTAAATCCTCCTCTCGCCCGGCAGAGGGGGCCGAGTCCTCGTCTGATGGTTTTCGTTCCTAATAAGCTTCCAAAATAAAGAGGTTAATTTACAGAGCACTTTCGTCCTGTAACTGTGCGGGGTCCAAACGGAGGGCGGGAGCAGCCCAGGAAAGTGGGAGCAGCCCGGGAAGGTGGGAGAAGGCCGGGAGGGAAGGGGGGGAACCCGGGAGAGCGGGAGGAGTGTCGGGAGGGGGGTGGGAGCAGCCCCGAAAGGTGGGAGCATTCCCGGGAGGGCGGGAGCAGCTCCGGCAAGGTCAGGGCAGTCCCGGGAGAGTGGGAACAGCCCCGGAGGGAGAGGGCAGCCCCGGGAAGGTGGGAGTAACCCCGGGAAGGTGGGAGCAGCCCCGGGAAGGTGGGAGTAACCCGGGAAGATCAGGGCAGTCCCGGGAGAGTGGGAACAGCCCCGGAGGGAGAGGGCAGCCCCGGGAAGGTGGGAGCAGCCCCGGGAAGGTGGGAGTAACCCGGGAAGATCAGGGCAGTCCCG